CGGCGGCGGCGCGGCGGGGCCGCGGGCGGAAGGCGCGGCACAGCGCCACGGCGTCGGGCACGCCGAGCTGCTCGGCGGCCGCCAGCAGGCGGGCGCGGTTGTGCGCCGTGAGCGCCAGGCGCCCCGTGTAGAAGAAGTCGAGCAGCAGCTGGAAGGTGTCGGCGAGGCCGTCGGGCAGCGCCACGGGCCCGCCGGGGCCGCAGGCGCGGAAGAAGCGGGAGCAGCTGGCGAGCACCGGCCAGTGCGCGCGGAACTCGCGGCCGCCCACGCCGAGCGTGGCGTCGCAGAACTGCCCGGCTGCGCGCTGCCGGTTCAGCTCCCGCAGCACCCGCACGCTGTGCGCCGCCGCCGCCGCCATGGCCGCGCACCAGAGCCTGCCGGCATCCGCCACCGCCGGACGTGGCGTCAGCGCGCGCCGGCAGTGACGCTGTGAGCGGCCGGGGCGGGCCGGGGCCGAGGGTCGGTCCCGTGGCGGGGTAGGCGCGGTGCGGGTCGAACCCCGCGGCTCAGGCGGCGGCCAGGCGGCGCGTGTACTCCTGGATGGCCATCTGGAAGTGTTCGGCCGTGTTTTGGTGCGGCCGCAGCAGGATGACGAAGGCCCGCGGCACGAAGTACCCGCCCAGCAGTGCTGCGAGCGTGCCCAGCGTGCCGAGCACCCGCGCCGCCGTATCGGCCCGGCCGCGCAGCGCGCCCTGCGAGCAGAGCACGGCGGCCGAGCAGCCCATGTGTAGCAGCAGGCTCACGGTCAGGCTCTTGGCCTCGTTGTAGGCGGCGGGCAGGTCGGTGCCCGCGTAGCTGAGCGCGAAGCAGCCGACGCTGAGCAGCACCGTGTAGGCGATGGCGGCGTCGGCCGCGCCGCTCTGGGCGCACTCCAGCACCACCCTCTCGTCCCACACTCCGTACTCCCGGCGCGGCACCGAGGGGCTGACGGCCTCGGTGACCACGCACAGCGCCACTTGCACCGCCGTGCTGGCGGCCACGAACAGCGCCGGCCCGTGGCGCCGCATCCAGGCCTCGTAGAGCGCAGGGCAGCGCGCGTTCAGCTTGAAGATGCAGAGGATCTGGAAGGAGCGGGTCGCCACGCACGAGAGGAACACGGTGAAGCTGATGGCGAAGAGCGGCACCCGCAGCAGGCACGCCGCCTGCGAGGGCTCCCCGAAATAGCAGAAGAGGCTGCTGCAGGTGCAGGCCAGGGAGCCCAGCATGAGGAAACACGTCTTCCCGCCCGCGGACTTGACCACAGGTGTGGAGGCATTGAGGGCGAACAGGACAGCCAGCGCCGCTATGAGCAGCATGAGAAGAACAGCCAAGGCCAGCAGCACCCAGGAGAGGGGCTCGGACCAGGACAGGAACTCGATGGTGCGGTTGAAGCAGACCTCGCTCCCTGCTGGGGCCCACTCATCCAAGCCACAGGCCTGGCAGTCAAAAGGGTCTGTGGAGGACACGGACACCTCACACACCTCGAACCCGGTAAGAGCTCTGCCACGGTGCAGGGCCCGGCCCGCAGCTCCCTGGGCTCTGCTCTCCCATTGCACCTGCAGGTGTTCCCAGGCTTGGGGTAGCAGAGAGGGCTCTTTTCCCAAAAGACCCCCCCTACCTAAAATTGGCCCCGTGGACTCTCCCAAATCCCTGGCCTGGGCTGAGGCAGGGGCTCAGCTGTGTGAGGCTCAGGGCCATGGAGGCTGTAGGTGGGAAGGGGCCCATGCATCAAGCAATAACCTGGGAAGGATCTGCAGCAGCTGCTGTTCAATGGGACAGTACCATGTAGGGGGGCTTTCTGCTCCCACTGTCCCCAGAGCTGCCCCTGCCCACTCCACAGGCCAAGGGTGTTGAGGCACTAGCTGCCAGGAAGGGGTTTGTTGTTGTGGCTGGTGATTCTGTGGCAGGAGACATTTCCATATGCCAGGTGCTGATGATCACGTAGTACGGAAGCCCCGTGTGCCATCTGGGGCACAAAGGCAACCACTAGGTTGAATTTCCATGGCAGAGGATGCGGTGCAGGGAACAGCTACCGGGCCGGACATCCCCATTCCCTGGCCACAGGCAAAAGGGCTCTGTTTGCCCAGGTGGGCTCACCTGTGGGCAGTACTCCCCGGAAAGCACGGGGCATGGGCTTTGCATACCCACTGGTAAGCAAACAGGACCCACTGCTTTCAGGTCAGCTCAGAGGTTTCACTGACCACAGGAGGTGAGAGGCTGGGAATGGTGAGACAGGAGCAGGTGGTAGGATGTGGGCAGGGGAGGAAAGGGCAGGAGCAAGCCCTGTGGTGTACTGACCCGATGTGTTCAGGAAGGTTCCTGGTGGGCAGACCACACAGCTGAAGCAGCATTTGTGGCGGCTCTGCTGCAGCCGCATCTCTCCTGGCTCACAGGCCTCAGAGCACACTGAGCTGGGAGCCTGCCAGGAGCACAGACAGGGTCAGGCTGGCAAGCAGCAGCACTCTGGCACCCCCCCATACTGCCTCAGCCCTCAGTTTTGCCCTGCTATGAGGAAACACCCCAGAACTGGTGACATTGGGATGCAGTCAGCCCAGAAGTGAGCAATAAAGACCTGGGTGCAGAACAGTACCTGGCCATCTTCTGTGTGCCACAGGATTTTTCCTGGGTTGATGCTGAGCCTGTCAGGGTTCACACGGAAGGTTCCTATCACATCAGAAGCCCAATTTGGGCCCAGCCACTTCCACATGACAATGTCATAGCCTTTTTGAATGTCCCCATGGGCATCGAAAGAGATTCGGCTCTTGTACAGCGTGAAGTTTACTTGCCTAATCTTTTGTAAGAGCTGTAAAACAGAAGAGTAAGAGAGGAGCCCTTCCAGTGGCACGACTCCTGCCACTGGAGGGAGATGTGCTGGAGGATGCTTCCTCTGTCCTGCAGCTGCTTTCAAGCCCCTCAACATCTGCAGGAAATCCCATTCAGTGAGGGCCTGGTGGAAGAGGAACAAGTGACCTAGGATGGAGTCTAGGTCTAGGTCTTGGCTGCTCTGACTGTGAGGGGCAGCTGAAGCCCACAGGGGTCTTCCGCTGGGATTTGAGCCTTTGAGAAAGACAGGAAACCTTTGGGCACAATGGAAAAATAGGATCCTCATGGATCTTCTTCCACGAGGTTGCTCTTACCTGCCAGGGATAGACAGTGCCTTTGCTGCAGGCCCCCGAGGCACAGCCCAGCAGGTCATGGAGGCCATGGGCCACAGCATACACGGCCGAGTACACGCTGAAGGAGCCTTGAGCGTCGTACATGTCGGGGACAGTGGCGAGCGCACGGCAGCCGGTGCAGCGCTGGGTGCAGTCCAGCCGTGCATTCCCCACGGATTCCCTGCCTGCCTCTGCACTGCTGGCACACTCAGCCACAGCACCTTCCTCCCACATCCTCCAAGCTTCAAAGCGTTCCAGCATCGTGGGCTCTGGCTTCTCTACTGCCATCCCCAACACCGAACCGATGGTCTGGATGCCAGGAACCTGCCAGATAGTTTGAGCCAACGACCAGTCTTCAGAGGCCACCCACACCATGCCCGTGACATTCCTCTGGACCACCACCTCGAAGAACGGCAGAACGCTTCCTCTGCTGGAGAACACAACAGTGACATTGACCTTGACATCTGTGAGGATTTGGACCAGGTTGTGAAGCTCCGGGTTGCTGGCGTCCGAGTTGGCGGGGATGGTGCCTCGGTAGGCCACGCACGCGTTGCTTGCGGTCAGCAGCTCCTGCAGGGCATCCAGGCCTGCTCTGCCATAGATGTTGTCGCTGCCCAGCAGTGCCACCCAGGTCCAGCCAAAGTGCTGCAGCAGCAAGAAGATGGCCTTCACCTGCTGCCTGTCGCTGGGGATGGTGCGCAGGAAAGAGGGGTACAGCCGCTTCAGGCTCAGCAGCTCCGTGGAGGCTTCGTAGCTGATCTACAACAAGAGCCAGGGGAAAGGGGGTTGCGCTGGCCCAGGCAGCTGCACCCCTGAGAGCTAATGGCACAGGCAGCCTGTCCTGGGAAGACTTGGAGCTGGGCAGCCAGTGGACCTAGTGCCAAGTGTGCTGAAGCAGGAGAAAGCTGTGATGGATGGTAAGACAGCCCACTGACTGCCTGAGAAAGAAGATCCTGTGACAGCACACACAGAGGGGCTGCATTTCCAGCTCTACCAGGCACCTCAGGTGTGAGCCCACCCTCCCTGAAACCATCACTCCTTGGGATCCCTGGTTTTCATCAGCCGTAGAAGCTGCACTTACCTGTGGTACAAGAAAGAGGCTGAGAACAGCGGCTGTGGTGAGGGCCAGCTGGGTGCTGTCAGGGCCAATGACAGCCACAGCCTGGGGTTCATAGTGTTGGAAACTGGGGAGCACCTGGACATCCTGCCTGCCCTTTTGAGCAAGGGCACACAGCGTGGCGTGGAAGTTGGTAGTCTCAGAGCAGGTATCATAGATTTCGTAGCCCAGGGTGACATTAGGGAGCAGCGTGGTGGAGTTGTTGATCTCCTCCACAGCGAAGCGCAGGGCTTGGGACAGGCAGAAGCCGTGGCTCTTGAAGGCGGCTCTATGGAATCGAGAGTGCTCGTTAGGAAGGACGGAGCGCCTTGGGGGCACGGGCAGCGCGGGCACTCACTCGTCGCAGCCGCGGACGAGCCGGCTGGCCTCGTCCCGGTGCGCCTCGGTGTGCAGCGGGAACAGCCCGGCCAGGCGGTGATCGCCGCGGAGGGTGAACGAAGAGGCGGCGGCGGCGGCCGCGCAGAGGCACAGGCGGAGCAGCGCGGGCGGCAGCATAGTGGGGCGGCCCCACACCGCGCGGGCGGGCGGCTCTTAACGGGGAGGCGGCGGCGGGCGGGGCCTGGCACCGGGCGGGGCGGGGCCGGCCGAGGGGCGGCCCCGGGAGGCGGAGGAGGCTCGGCGGTCATGCCCGCGCGGCGCAGCCGCCCCCGCCGGGCTTCGGCCCGTGCCCCGACCCGCGCGAGCCGGGCAGAGGCAGCCTGGCGGGAGTTCGCCGCCTCCTTCACTCGCATCGGGATGGTGCCGCCGGCTGAGCCGGGGCTGGTGGCCGTGGAGGCGGCGGAGGGCTCGGCCGTGCTGCTGCTGGAGCCGCGGCAGGTGAGCAGCGCCCACAGCGCGCCGGCCGCGCCGCGCCGCGCACCGCCTGACCGCCCGCTCTGTCCTGCAGGCGCTGACCTTCACCGGCAAGTGCCGCCTGCGCTGCCTCTATGGTGCCGTCCGCCTGCTGGGCTTCGCCGTGGCCTCCCACCACTCGGGACTGCCGGTGTTCTCGCCGGCCACGCACTGCGCGCTCAGCCTGGAGGCGCTGCCCGGCGCCCGCCCGCCCGCCGCCGCCCTCCGCCAGCTGCGCGCCGCCGCCCGCGCCGCCATGCGCTCGCACCGGGTCCTCCGCCGTGAGTGCGGGACGGGACCGGGGCGCGGGCGGGCGCCATTTCACGGGCGGTGCGGGGAGCGGCCATTTTGTGCGCGGGGCGCTGCGCAGCGGGTGGTGCCATTTCGCGGGCGGGCGCGGGGCTGAGGGTGATGGCGGCACTTGGCTCTTTCAGCGGCGCGGGTGAAGGTGATGGCACGGTTCTCTCCCGACTGCGCCGTGGTGCTGCTGGAGCACCTGGACACGCCGGTGACGCGGTTCCTGCTGAGCCACCCGCCGCTGTCGCGGTTTTTCGAGCCCCAGGTGAGGCGGCGCGGTGCCTGCCGCTGCCTGTGCCGTCCCCGCGCCGCCCGTGCAGAGCCAGCGGCGGCCGCCCTGTCAGCGCCAGGCCGTGGCCTCACACAGCCCGTGCTGAGTGCTCGCCCTCTCGCCTAGAAAAAGGAGCAGTCTAACTTCACGCCAGAGGACGCGGTCCTGGCGTCCGTGGGCATCGTGAAGTGCAGCCCCGACCGCGGGCTGCTGTTGTCGGAGACCACGTGCCTGGCGCTGGAGGAGCTGATCCAGGCCTGCTGTGGTGAGTGCAAGCCTTTGGCCGTGTGGTGGCTTTGGTAGCCTGAAAAAAAAGAAAATTCGTGAGGCATTCATGAGCTAAAGAAGTGCACAAGCTGATTGAGGGTCGGATTTTTCTTTATGAAGAATGTGCATCTAGGGCTTAGGCATTGCCTAGGGTGGGTCGGTGATGCCAGCATCAGTCCAGTTCACACTCGGCTTTTCTTTCTAGCGGAAGATGAAGGTGTCCCTGTGGTGCTGGTGTGTGGCCCAAAAAACACTGGGAAGTCAACATTCAACAGATACCTAATTAATCTGTTACTGAACCGGTGAGTCTTTCCATGTTCTGCAAGCCTTTATGTGCTATGTGAAGTTTAGGAAAAGGAAAAAAATAAATGTTTGACAGGTCTCTCAGAAGAGCCATCAGAACTCAAAGGTGCATAGCTTTTAAACACAATAATTCAGAAAAACAGATATTCTTGTCTTGAGTGATTTCAGAAAAGTTGCCTCCTGAACATTTCCATTGAAATACTGTTAAATTGCTGCCTTGGAGTGTGTGAGCACATTGGGCACCAAGCAGTTTGGGCTTGGTAAGAGAGTTGCAATAGCTAGAAATGCACCATGAGTGTGGTTGAGGGAAGGAGAGATTAATGAATTTCAGCTTTGCAACCTGGAACAAAATCTGATTGCTCTTCTGATATGTTCAGGTCGCGTAGTTCTTTTGGTGGATGCTAACACTCAGTCTGTCTCCCTGCAGCCTTCCTGTGGTGGAGTACATGGAGTGTGACATTGGCCAGACAGAATTCACTCCGCCCGGGTGCGTGTCCCTGAGCAGCGTCACGGAGCCTGTTCTGGGTATGTGTTCCACTGCTTCTGCGGTTACAGAGACCTGTTCCGTTTCTGAAATGAACAGGCTGTTCTGGGTAGAGGCTCTCCTTCAGGGGAAGCTGCTGCCACAGCTGTCAGAGTTTCCTGGGGAGAATGGGCTGTTCAAGTTTTCTTGTAGGTGCTTTTAAGCTCCCTGAGTAACATGGAGCTGTTCTGCTTTAAAGAAACACGATGTTGTAGAGGTGGTAGTACATGCTAAGGTGTATCAAAGGGGATGTTCTGCCTTTCAGATGTGAAAGGTCTCCTTGGGAAAATCTGTATCTGTAGATAATACTAACTTGAGAAATCCAAAGTGGATCTGCACAGATTGGGGCTGCTGTGATGAGCATGAAAAACACTTTGTTTGTAGTCTTCCAGATCTGGGTTAGTGTCTAAAAGGACATTCCCAGGCTGGTTTGCTGTTTAACCAGTTTGTCTTACAAACTTTGTCGTAGAAACTTGTTCTTTAAAGATTTGCAAGTGTGTAAGCAGTAATTTCAAACAAAAACCCACACCAAATATTAACCTGAAACAAACAAAGCTCCCAGCCTGCGAGTGACAGACCAGTTTCCCCTACTGGCAGGCTGTGCAAGGACAATTGGCATGTGGGAAGAGTGGGTTATTTCGGGAGAGGAGGCGTGTGGGTGGTCAGGGACAGGAATGTTTTGGTGTGACCTGGGGAAGGCACTGGATGTTCGGTGCTCTCTTTGCCAGGTCCCCCCTTCACTCACCAGCAGATGCCCAGTAAGATGGTGTATTATGGCCAGACCAGCTGTGAGCACGACACAGAGAGGTACCTTGATGTTGTGAAATACGTGTTCAGCTACTACAAGAAGGAAGTGCCTCTAGTCATCAACACCATGGGCTGGGTGAAAGGTAAATGGGGTCAATCTGCTCTGGAGAGGTGTGGGAGGGAGGTAACAGCGTCACAGAACCACGTGGAACAAAAATTCACAGCATGTCCACCCTGAGCTAATGCTGCTGTGCCACCTGTCGCAGTAGTAGCAGCAGTTGTGTGTTTCCTGTGCTCCTGAAGGTGAAGGGCTGCTGCTCCTCATCGATATCATCCGGCTGTTGTCACCCAGCCACATTGTTCAGATGGACATGTGTGACTGGAAGGCCATGCCCCCGCTGACACCTGAGCACGTCCACTTCAGCGCCGGGCTGCACACCAAGGGCAAGCAGCAATCCAAGTGCAAGCAGCTGGGAGTGGACAGCATGGATAGCTGGAAGTACCCTGAAGGGGAGGATGTGTCAGCTCCACAGCACAAGCTGCTGTATGTCCACCCAGAATTCCCTCGGGCAGGGGTGGCAGGTGAAGTGTAAGTAGGATGTTGAGTGCTCTGTGAGGTCCCTGGGCTGAACAGAGCCACACGTCGTCCTTGACATGGGGTTGTTCTTTCAGGCGAGTGCACAGTGGCATCCTGCGTGACATGTCCATCCTGGGATACCTGGGGCACCTGCAGAGCCCAGACATTGGGGCAGTGCTCCCGCTGCACAGCCTGGTGCCATATCAGGTAAAGGAGCGTTTTGGGGTGGTTTGCCAGGGAATGTGCACAGAGCCCAACCTGAAGTGATGGGCAGTTCTGTTCCTACTGCACATTTGTCCCTCAGAAGAGGGACAAACACTCTGATCTACAGAGTGACTGTATTCAGGATGTCTGGAAGCCAAGCTTCTGTCAAGGTGCTGGTGTGGCACGTGTGTGCTGTGTGTCCTGCATGTGCAGGTGTTGGTGCACAAGCTGCTTTGTGTGCCCTGCCATAGTGCCTGTGTGTAGGTGTGGTGGGGAGTGTGCAGGGTCTTATCTCAGAACTCAAACTCAATCCATGTGGAGCTGATGAGCACTTTTCTCTTTCCCACCTCAGGTACCTTTTAATGCTGTTGCACTCAGGGTTATTCACACAGATGTTGCTCCCAGCAACATCATGTACGCAGTGAACGCCAGCTGGGTCGGGCTCTGCTGCATTCCGGAGGAAGTGCGGTGCCAGACCGAAGGGCCAGTCCTGCTGACACAGACACCAATCTGCGACTGCCTGGGCTTCGGTGAGCACGCCTGGAGCTCTGCTCTCACCTGCCGTGTTTAGGCAGACAGGTTGCATAGTGATGGAATTACCTTTTAAAACCAGCTGGAGGAGTGGGATGAGTGTGGCGTATTCTGTGCTGTTCTGCTGTTAGAGGCAGTCCTTGGACTTTGGTTAACAGGTGGTAAGAGCTGTGGGGAATGTCCTTGAATGATGCCACTCAGAGCTTCTCTCAGAACTCCACAGTGACTCACTTTCCAGTTCACGTTCTCGAAAGCACGTCCCATGTAGCTTTTGCAAAATTACGGTAGTTGTCTCAGTTTCCTTGTGACTGTTAATGTTCCAGTTTGGACTTTGGTGCTCAATCATGTAGGGATGTGATAGTGAGCAGGGATACTTAGTGGCTGAGCTTTGCATGTGGTTTTTTTTTTTTCAGGAATTGTCCGAGGAGTTGATATGGAGAAGAAGCTTTACCACATCCTGACACCAGTGCCTCCAGCAAATCTGAGAGTAGTGAATTGCCTGCTCCTTGGGAACATTGCCATCCCTAACTGTGTGCTTGTGGACCAGGTAGGAGCTCACAGGAGGGGTGGGAGTTGGCTGAGCTGCAGCTGTCTGGCAGGTTTTCCATTTTCTTATTCCTGAGGCTGATGCGTGCTGGGAGATGCCTGGGCATCAACAGATGGTTATCTCTCTGTGAAATTGTCCTTAAGCACAGAAACCTTGGGAGAACAGAATGTTGTGCTCATGTTTCAGATGCCAAAGTGGGGTTTGGTGATTGCTGAGTCCTTCCCGCCATCAGCTCTGTCAGCCTGGGGAGGGATGTGCTTCCCCCTGTGCTGAAGGTGCAAGTTCTTAAAGTTGTTTCTCGTTTAATTTTTCCATTTTGCAGCAAGGAATTGAGGGAGAGATTCCCTACGTCACATCCGATTACAACTACAGTATCATGGGCTCAGGGAAACTGAGGAAGAAGAAACAGCATTTGAAGAGAAGATTTGAGTGTGATTACACTTGAATCCTCAGGATGCTCAGCCTGGGTTTGTTC